GGAGGAGCAGGGGACGGCTTACACAGCCGGCACCCCCATACTCGCCACCCCCAAACCCTAAAACAAGCAGCACAGTGCAGGGGAGCGTGCAGCAGCGGGGGCGGTGCTCGTGGTGAAGCGGGACGGCTGGGGCGGGCTGTACGGGCCGCGCAAGGGCCTGGCGCGGGCCGTACGAACCGCGCGCGGGCCTGGCGCAGCTCGTACGAGCCGTGCGCGGGCCTGGCGCAGCCCGTACGAGCCGCGCGCGGGCCTGGCGCAGCCCGTACGAGCCGCGCGCGGGCCTGGCGCAGCCCGTACGGGCCGCGCGCGGGCCTGGCGCAGCCCGTACGGGCGGCGCGCGGGCCTGACGCAGCCCGTACAGGCCGCGCGCGGGCCTGGCGCTGCCCGTACGGGCCGCGCGCGGGCCTGGCGTAGGCCATACGGGCCGCGCTCGGGCTGACAGGGGGCGACGCGCGGGTCCCCGGGGAAGAAAACCGCCGCGCGCCCTGAGCGCGTGGCGGGAAGAAAAACCGTCGCGCGCCACGGGGCGCGCGACAGACAGGAGAGCAGCGGAAGCAGGTGGTGGGCCCACCCACAGGATCGACCAGGGAGGGTCGACCTGCTCTGATAGCATGTCAAAAGTAAAATGCAAAGTTAGAACAAGAAAGAGAGGTTTGCACTAGCAGGCAGTTGAGTACATATAGCAAACCCTAATCTGGGCTGTACTCGCTATAGAGTACCCCACTGCAGGCTAGACAAATATAACATTCTGACACAGGTGTCGCGTTACCACCGTGTGCGCATGCGAGGCAGCGAAACATTGTGTAGGGTAGTGCCCATTTTTAAGCAACTTGTTACCGGTACATCTAGAATGTTATCACTTTCGAACACCTCGTTTCACCTCGAATAGAAACATGTTAGTGTATAAGGCGTGCTCCTTGGTGATCAGAGTTCAAAAAAGGTCGACCTTTATGTTACAATATGGAAAATGAGATAACATTTGTGTACGTAACAGGGTCACGGCACAATCGAGGATGAAGACGAGATGATTCGAAGAGACGCGCATGGTTGGAACCACTGGACCGTCAGCGGCAGATGATGCATCAGGCAGATGTATCAGTGAGGGAAAAGAAGGGAACCAGTTTTTAACGGGTTCCACCGTACGATTAAAACCAGGGTCTCACGTAGATCATTTGTTTTGCAGTTGATGACTTCACCCTGGTTAGGATTGGTTGTCGAGGTGGAAAGAATGACGAGCGGTGTGACGAGGGGAGCAAAGGAAACACAAATTGCAGTTTGTGTCCGAACCATCTAGGCACGGAAATTGGTTCGGTACCAAAGCTAGAACACCTGCAAAATGTTCGAGAATCCTGTCAGTCTCATGTAGCATCAAAATGTTTTGCAATTGCATCACAGGCAAAAACGGGAGGTGTCGCACAGTCAAATGCCAAACCAACCCCTAGACTTCGCCGCCTCAAACAGGGTGACTCAGCTTCATTTGTTTTGCAGTTGATCACGATTTCTCATACGTGAGACCCTGGCTTTAAATCTCGCTGTAATAAGGGAGGGAATGTAACCCTCCCTTACAGTACATGATAGCTAGGACATTTTGTATTCCCTGTATTTCACCCCTCCCTTAGAGTACATGACTAGCGAGGACATTTCGTATTCTGTGTATTTCATATATAAACAATGTGTATGTTTTTGCTATCATTACATTTGTCATATTACATTCACTATGACATGTGCCATTATTCACTTCCATTGCTAATTAATCTGCGATCAATCATGAGCACGAATCTGATTAAGTCCCCCGTGGGATTGAATCATGGTATGAGAGCCACTCATGGATTCATCGCATCCCCACTTATCAAACGAATGTGGCGATCAGCACACAATCGCGAGCCAAGATGGCTGGAGGATGAGGAGGTCAGTCGAATCTGACGGCTGAAGCTTAACCAAATCCAGTTGCGAGCTCGGAGTCGACGACGACGATCAGCACCGTCGCACTAGAGCAACTACTTCTGCGGCTTTCAACTCTGGAGCAATGACTTCAGTCATTGCGGAATGGTGACAAGAGAACCTCCTAACATACTCAAACAATCTTTGTCGACACAAATACATCAATACCAAAAGTCCCCCGTCCATATGATGATGCCATCCTCCCTCAAGACAAGTACCGTTTCTTACATGAATTTTATATACCTGGAGCTGATGCTGCAAAAAGCGCAACTTTACCACTATTTTGACGGAAGCTATGCATGCCCAACAGTGGACATCGACCACGCCCGAGTGCGGTAAACAACGACTCGCTCATGGCGTCAACGAAGCAACTCGGCATTCGTTCGTTCAAAAGGGAGTTGTCTTCGCCATTAAAAGCTTCGTGGTACCTCACGAAGTTGTACCAGCCGAAAGACTCGGTGTCGTCGAGCAGACTCCTCTAGCAACTCGTGGAGGTGAAAACAGGACCTGGGGAGAAAGCGAATTCCTATATCAATCATTGCCGAAGCACGCGATCACTTTGAGGTGCGCTGGAGGTCTATCTGTAAGGACATTTTGTCACTATTGTGCTCACTCGGCTCGGATATGAGTGCCGACCCTACAAGGCACTATTCGGGCAACGGGGACTTATCTCGAAAGCATCCCCCTGCGCCGTTCTTCTTGTGAGAAGCAAAACATAGATACCCACAGGGATCGCCCCGCGCCGCGACAAAATCGACTCGCCTTCTATGCTGACAACAAAGCAGAGTGACAAGCAAGGCGCCTATCACAGGATCGAACTCACAGTCGAAATTGTTCCACTACGATGAGATACAAGGCGCATTTATACCCAGAAATTAAAAGAAACAAGCGATAACCCGAACCGCCGGGAACACACCCTTCTAGAAGCTATAGTAACTTGTGCATAAAGGAAAGCAAGCCTCTTGGCGCACTGGAATATCTAGATGGTTCCGTATATACCTTCTATCGGTGCCGTATGACATATATGTCGGTGCCGAAAATACGAAACATATGAAATATTCGAAAGCTCTAGAAAATGGAATAGTAGTCCGATTGAGGTGAAATAAAGTGCAAATGAAAGAGGAAAACAAGGAGAATAAGATAATGGAAAATTATGGAAATATGACATATGTTAAATGGTGGCGTACTCTCACACTTCCCCACTCAAAGCTGGGTGGTATAGGTAACACCCTACTTGACAAGATAGTCACGGAGAGAACGTCGTGCGTTACTCGTGTCTTCTTCAGGGACACAACTGTCCTTAGAAGGGTCATAGCCCTTCCAGAGTATAAGAAATTCCAGGGCATCATGCCGACGACGACGATGTGCAAGCACAGACCCGACCTTGTACTCGAGGTCATCGTTCACGAAGACTAGAGGCGGCGACGGAGGTTGGCTTCCCGGAATTAAGATGCTGCACGTGGAAGGCGTTATGAATCTGCCAAGTAGCTAGAATGTGACTGGAGTGACCTGCTCTTTTCAAGGTCCGACAGAAGCGAGGTCGCAACTTGGATGGAAGGTGACTGAGGTTGAGGTTGCATGTGTCGAGGAGCACATGGCCACCAACCGAAATGGTATGATAACGTCGATGGCGATCGGCCGAGCGTTTCCGTGATGACTGGATGTCCTGCAGTCGCTTGTGCGTCTGATTCCAAAGCTGCTGCATTGTGGTAACGAAATCGTACGTGGGCTAGACGGTTGCAGGTACTGTCGGCTGTTGTGGAGTTAGCAGATGTCGACCGTAACAGAGGAAGAACGGGGTCTTTCGTATTTCAGCATGCTTCGCATTGTTGTAGGCGAACTCCAATACCGGCAAGTGCAAGTCCCATTTGCTAATGTTGTCCTTGCACGCTGCGCGCAAGAGTTGTTCCACAACCTAGTTCAGGCGCTCTGTCTGCCCATCGGTCTGAGGATAATATGCGGATGACGTCGCAAGGCGTGTCCCCATGAGCGACATGAGCTCTTTCCATAACTTGCTAGTAAACTTGGGGTCCCTATCGGATGTTAGCGTTGTCGGGATCCCGTGCTGTGAGATGACGTGTTTGACGAACAGCTGTGCCGTTTCCTCCCTGCGTGCAGTCGTGTGGGTCGGAATTGTTGGAGTAGGCTAGAGTTCGCTCTTGTCTTTATTTTGGTGTTATTTTATTATTTCGTCATTCTTACAACGAGTTAAGCTTTCAGGTTCGTTTTAGGTTCATTTTGTAGTTTTCATACCAAACTGAACACACCTTAGGTTCAATTAGGGTTTTTTCATTCTTCTTCAAATGTATCTCGACACTCTTGCTATTACAACTTGTTCAACCATTCCCTCTAGCCATGGCTGCAAGTATAATCTTAAAACCAGGGTCTCAAGTAAGAGATTTTGCCATCAATTGCAAAACATTTGAGACTTGCGTTACCTTGTGTTTGTAGGCGAGTTGGACTGGTTGGCTAGGGAAGTTAGCGTGCGACACTCCCCCTATTTTGCCTCAGCACCAATTGCAAACAAATTTCAGGTACATGAGACTCTCGACAATTCTTGACATTTCACTGGCACTGTAGCTTCGGCTCCGAACCTGTTTCCATACCTAGAAGGTTTGGAACACAGCAAACGATTTAGTTCCCTTCGCATCCCTCGCTGCACCCCTTTTCGTTTTTAAGGGCTCGTCAACCAATGGGAAACGGGTGTTTCCCATCAACTGCAAAACAAATGATCTACATGAGACCCTGGTTTTAACATGGTACCTAGAGCCTAATTCTAGGCAATTTCTCATTCTCCACATCTCTTAGTGAAGCTTAGACCCTTAGGCACCCGGCGCGTCACTCCTCATCTACTTGAAATTACTGTTTTCTATCATCTCGACCTATTTTGTTTTCTTTTCCATGTTACGGATCCCCCCTTAGGCAGCCGCGCGACTCTCTTAAAGCGGTCGCAGACCCCCCTAGCTGCCTCCCACGACCGTCGTGCGCCCTTCCCCATCGCTGGGCATGCCTTGCCCCGTCGTCGCGCGCGGCCTGCTTCTTCACTATGCTCCGTCGCTATGCTCACGCTGCCCCATCGTCGAGCCCCCCTCCCTCCCCCCCCCTGCCCTCTGGTTGCGCGCGTTCTACTCCGCCTTCGCACTCTCGGCCCCACCTCCTCGTGGCCGTCTTCCTTATCCTCTTGCGAGCGCCCTCCCTTCCTTTCTCGAGGATGCCCTGCCTTCTCTCCTCCCGGGCGCCTTGTTTCTCTTCATGGTGCGCCTTCCCAGCCTCTCGCGCCCCACATTCATCTTATCCGCCCACCACATCTGCCCGTTCACTCATCTCCTCCTCTCTTCTCTCCTCCCTCTCCTTCGTGCCTCTCCTCCCTTCCTCCACCTCCTTTTCCTCTGCATCTGCTGCAGCTGGCTGCTGGTTGCTGGTTGCCAGTTCGTAACCGTGCTCCTTCCTCCTCCCCGAAACCCGCCCCTTCAGCTCCCTCCTCCTCTCCTCTCTCTCTATTTCCCACCACTATCTTGCCTCTTCCTCCGACTCTTTCCTCTCCTCATCTGCTGCAGGTGGTAGCTGATTGTTTCCTGACGTGTTCTTCTTCCCCACCTTTCCTCCTAAATATCCTCCCCGCAACTACTCAACTGCAAACTCCTCCACTATTACCCCTCCTCCTCTTCGTTCTCCCCCCAGCGGCTCTGCAGCCGACACCTCCGTCATTACCCCTCCTCCTTTTGTTTCTCCCTTAGCAATAACAGACTACTTCACTGTTATCCCTCCTCTTGTTTCTCCCCTCAGTGGCAAAGCAGCAGACTACTTCACTGTTATCCATCCTCCTCTTGTTTCTCCCCTCAGCGGCGCAGCAGCAGTACTCCGCCATTATTTGTTTCCTCAACGGCTCAGCAGCTGACCACTTCACCCATATTCCTCCTCCTCATGTGCCTCCCACCAACGGCTCAGCAGCTGACTACTTCGCCCATATTCCTCCTCCTCTTATTCCTCCCCTCATCGGCTCAAAAGCTGACTACCTCGTCCCTATTCCTCCTCCTCTTTTAACTCCCCACATCTGCTTCGTTGCTATCTCCTCCCCCTGATCACGCCTATTCTCGCCCTTACCTCTCTTCCTCTGCACTTCCGCCTTCCTACTCCTTCTACCATACCTCCTCTCCTACCCTTGCCTTCCATACCCTCTACTTCCTTCGCTGCCCCTTCCTCTCCTTGCAGCACCTCTCCTTCTTGCCGCTGGACCCCCCCCCCCTCCCCCCCTTTCTCCACCTCTCTGCTTTGACTCCACTGTACCATCAGCGTCGACAGGACGTGCCTGTCGTTGTGACCTCTGGTATTGTCTCTCTGGCCTCTGTTTTCAGTGTGACCATGCCATCTAAGGATAGCATTCTTGGTGCTTCGCCTCTTATGGACCCTCGCTTTGTCGTCCCATTTTCTCTTCCTCTTCAGAGCACGGCTTCTCACTCTCCCATCCCTACGGGTGCTGCTCTCTCATTTCCTCGCACCTTGGGTTTTGTCTTTGACAATGCTGCTACTGAATCTGTCTTTTGTGATGCCGGTGACCTTCGTTCTTTTCCTCATCCCCTCTTTATTGACGGGGCTAGGGAGACCATGACCATGATCTGCAATGGCACCTCCCCTCTTCCCTGTCTTGCCTCTCCCTCTGGCGTTGCTACTAGCCTTTATGTTCCCTCCTGTCGTCATAACCTCCTATCTCACTCTGCCCTCCAACGCCTGGGTGTACAAGCATTCTTCCCCACAGGTCACGTCTATTGTGATCTTCATTACCACGATCGGCACCTCGCCCGTTTCACCCTTTCTCCTACCTCTTGAATCTACACCCTCCGTGTCCCCATCCCTACATCTGTCCATCACACTTCCTCTTCTTCTGCCCCTCCCATCTCCTTGTAATTGTCGCTCTCTCACCCAGCCTGCCCTTCTTCTCCGTCATCGTCTTGGCCACCCCAACTTCCCTCTCCTTCTCAACTTCCCTTCCTCTCTCCCGCCCCTTCCCCCCTCTCCCGCTCCTCCATGCACCCCTTGTGTTCAAGCCAAGCTCTCACAATCTCCTCATCCTTCTTCCCCTTCTGCCTCCTTAAATCCCCTTGATCTTATGCATATGGACCTCTGGATGTCCCACTCCCATTGCCTCTCGTAAGGGTCATCCCTTCTCGTTGATGACCACTCTCGCTTTGCCACGGTTTATTTCCTCCGTGCCAAATCTGACGCCCCCTCCCTCATCATTCACCGGGCTGAGCAGGCGCGTCTTCGCTTTGGCCATCCTGTCGAGCGCCTCCACTCTGATGGTGGTGGCGAGTTCTTTAACCACACTCTCTCCTCTTACTGCTCCGCTCATGGCATCCGCCAAACCTCCACCCTTCCCCATTCTCTTGAACAGAATGGTGTTGCCGAGCATCGCATTCGCACTCTCATAGAGATCACCCGCTGTCTCCTTACTCATGCCTCTGCTCCACACTCTCTTTGGAGCTACGCTCTTGTTCACGCCACTCTTCTTTCTAACCTTCGCCCTCATCCTCTTCGCCCTTCCGTTACACCCTTCCAGCACTGGACATGCCGCCAGCCCTCTGTCTGCCCCCTTCGGGTGTGGGGTTGTGTCGCTCATGTCCTCATTGTCAAACTTATATGCTGCTTATTGTGTAGGCTGTAGTGGGGTAGCCCACATGGGGTACAACCCACTTACGGTTTTCTATTTGTACTCATCCTGCTGCTAGTTCATTCATTCCTGTTCGTTATTCTGACATGGTTTCAGAGCAGGTCCTAGCCTAGGACCGGTATCTTAGGGCCCACCGAGTAGCGCTACCCCACCCGTCGCGCCACTGTGACCGCGTTGCCCTGCCCTGCGTCGCGCTTCCTACGCACGCTCTGCCCTACCCGCGCGCCGCCCGCCGCAGCGCGCACTGCTTTGCCCGTGCGCCGCCTACTGCAGAGCGCCCTGCTGACTCGCGCGCCGCCTGCTGCAGCGTGCCCTGCCCTGCTCGCGCGTCGCGCCACTGCGCACGCCCTGCCTAAGCGCCGCGCCGCCGCGTCGCCCTGCTCACACGCCGCCCGCGCCTCCCTGCCCGCGCATCGCGCCACCGCAGCGCGCGCAGCCCTGCCCGCGCGCCGCTCGCGCCGAGTGCCTTGCCCTGCCCACGCGCCACGCCGCCGCGCACCCTGCCCTGCCCGCGCGCCGCGCCGCCGCGTGCCCTGCCCTGCCCGCGCGCCGCGCCGCGCGCCCTGCCCTGCCCGCGCGCCGCGCCGCCGCGAGCCCTGCCCTGCCCGCGCGCCGCACAGCCGCGCGTCCTGCCCTTCCTGCAAGCCGCGCAGCCACGCGCCTTGCCCTGCCGCGCGCCCTGCCCTTCCGCGTGCCCTGCCCTGCCGCGCGCCCTACTTGAGCGCCGTGCCCTGCCCTGCCGCGCGCCCTGCCCTGCCGTGCGCCCTGCCCTGCCGTGCGCCCTGCCCTGCCGCGCGCCTTGCCCTACCACGCACTGCTCACTGCTGCACTACTGCTAGCGCGCTCGAGTGCTCTGCCCGCTATGGCCACTCTCAACATTCTGACCTTCGATTCGGAGGGCCGCCCGATAGAGTTCAACGCATGGCTAGACGACTTACAGCTGTTCCTGCTGACCGACTCTAAGGACGGAATTTCGTTGTTTGACCTCACGTCTGGCGCCTCTCTCGCCCATGCCGCCACAGCTGACAGTGCGACTCGCTCACAGTGGCTTACCCGTGACGCTGCTGCTCGCCCAGCCGTTCGCAACCACCTAACGTTAGCCGAACGCGCCCACTTTGGCCAGCATAAGATAGCTAGAGCACTGTACGACGCTGTAGTCGCTCGTTACTCCTCCCCGGCCACTGCTGCTCTAGGCCGCCTTCTCCTGCCCTACCTGTTCCCAGAGTTGTCCGCCTTTGCCACAGTAGCCGACCTCGTCACTCACCTCCGCACTAGTGACACTCGCTACCGTGCTGCGCTCCCCGCAGAGAACCCCCCCCATGTGCATCACACTCTACTTCATAGTCACCCGCCTCCCTGCCTCTCTTACCGCAGTCACGGACCTCCTTCTCGCCCTTGACCCCACTGACCTCACTGTCGACCTGCTCAAGAAGCACCTCCTCACAGCTGAGACTAGCATAGTCACTGTAGGCGCTTCTCGTGGCAGTCCTCGCACTCCCTTCTTTGAGGGGTGTTCGCCCTCCCCCTTCTCCCCTCAGTCGCCTCTGCTGCAGCTGTTGACTACCTTCGTGCTGAGGAGGTAGGAGCTGCGTCTGCCCCTAGTGGGAGGCGTTGCAGCGGCAGGGGCAGGGGAGGCAGGGGCGGTGGGGGTGGCAGAGGTGGAGGCGGTGGTGGGGGCGGTGGAGGAGGTGGAGGGGGCGGCGGTGGAGGAGGTAGTGGTGGTGGGGGTGGAGGTGCAGGTGGCAGCGGTGGTGGCGGCACTGGGAATGGTGGAGGCAGCAGTGGTGGCGGCAGTGGGAGTGGAGGCGGCGGCACTGGTGGCGGCCGGGGTGGTACCAGCCAGAGGGGAGGCCTTGGAGGTGGCCAGCGGCAGCATCAGCGTCAGCCCCTTTCGTCTCAGGAGCTCCGTGAGTGGTTTGCTCAGCGTGGGGCGGCTGGGGGTGGAGGTCGCTGCTCGTGTGTCATTCGCACAGGTGACTGCACTGGTCAGACATGCGGGCAGCCTCACACGCAGCACCGCTACTTCTCCCATCTTACCGACGCCTTTCGAGCAGAGTTTCCCGACGCACCTGAGCTCCCTCACTGGGCAGAGCTGCTTAGGTAGGGTGTGGATATCTTTGCTCTAGACTATGATGCTATCCTTTCTGCCATGTATGCATTGACTGTTAGTGCTGAGGGTGACTGTTACCTGTGTATGCCGCCAGACCCAGGTATAGAGGCCGCTGCTCTATGTGCTAGTGAGTCTGCTTCTCTAGGTGCTGGTGAGTCTGCTCTCTCTGGTACTACGTCTGCTGTGGCCCTGCACACCTTCACGCTTGACTCACGTGCTTCCCGCTGTTTCTTTCGCGACAGTACCACAGTCACACCGCTCTCTGCACATGTTGCTGTCTCTTTGGCTGACCCCTTAGGGGGCCCAGTCATTGCACGTTCCTAAACTGTTCTGCCTTGTCCGGCGATTCCGTCTGGCTCACTGTCAGGTCTCCACCTCCCCTCGTTCTCTACGAACTTGGTGAGCAACGCCGTCCTTCAGGAACAGTGGGTTGATACCTTCACCTCTGGAGGACAGCGTGTGGCGATCTGTACGTGCTCCCGGACTGGCAGGCACCTGACCACATTCACCCGTCGGCCTGGGTCGAGTTTGTACACACTGACTACTGCGCCTCCTCAGGTATTTGCGTCTGCGTCTTCGTCAGGTCAGCTAGCGGCCCCCTGCTTGTGTCGCGCCCTGTCGCACCAGACGCTCCTCTGGCACCACCGCCTTGGTCACCCCTCTGTGGCACGCCTCTGTGGCATGCACTCCCGTCTCCTGGTCTCTGGTCTTCCCAGGTCTCTGCCTCCCCTCCCACCCTCGCTTGCTCCTCCCTACCTTCCCTGTGTCGAGGGGCGGCAGCGCGCCGCTCCTCACTCCTTCTCGTTCCCCCCGACGACTGCTCCCCTGCAGACTCTCCACCTGGACGTGTGGGGCCCAGCCCGTGTCCGTGGACAGGGCCACGAGAGGTACTTTCTGCTGGTTGTCAACGACTACACGCGTTATGCCACGGTCTTCCCCTTGCGCCGCAAGGGGGGGTTCCCTGA